CAGGGGATCTCGTAGTCGAGCAGTCTCGACTAGAGCTTTCTTACTTGTTTTCTATAATTTATTTATTTACAATCTGTCCTTTTGGACAGTCAGTAAATTGTTTAGCAAACTTTAGAGGGGTATTACAGCAAGTGAGCATTGGCGGGGGCTTAAAATTAGCGGTATTACAAAACGTATGTGTGTGTGTGGAACGAGGATCCGCAATGAGCGGGAGATCTAGCGGATGGAGTCATCTCAGTCTTTTGGTTGAGGCGCTATTCTCAAGGAGGATTGATGTGTTTATCCAGGCGTGACAGGTAGTTGGTGGACAGTCTGGTCCTCTACAAAAGGGACGCCAAGCTCTTCGTATAGTTCTACGTTAGTGGTGTAGATAATGTATAATGGCCTTGTATACGAGAAGCTTTAGTCTTGTTTTTAGCTTCGACTGTTTGCCCAGTAACCAGAGGTGTTTTTCAGGCTCTTGTCCTGCTGCTTTCATTTTGAGAGTTCCATGTGAGTCTTCTGTCGAGAAGAAGGCCGAGGTACTTTGCTGTTATGATTTCAGGGATAGTGGGGCCGTCTAGCTGGGGGCAGTTTCCTCTTCTTAGTGTGAAAGTTGTGTGGGTGGATTTTTTAGCCATGTGTTGACTAGGTCGAGCTGCCTTTGCAGTATATTAGAAGCAGTTTGTGGTGATGCGTCCCTGGCTAGAAAGGCTGTCATCAGCGTAGCTGGCGGTTAGTAGTCTTGCGTCCGGGACGATGGACATATCAGCGGTGTAGAGCGTATAAGGCACTGGGCCCAATACGTTTCCCTGGGGGACTCCGGCTCTAACCTCTTTGATATCGGATGTTTCGTCACCACATTTGACGGGAAAACTTCTGCCGACAACAAAAGATTTAAGGAGCATCACTTAGTTGAAAGGGGAATAAGCTTGTCTAAGGCTATCCAATAAATACATTAATGTGATCAGAATGTTTGTATATTGTATAGGAATAATCTGTTTTTGAATTTCGAATTCTTTTTTTCTGCAAACATCTATTCAAACATATAAATGACAAGCGCACACGCGCTAAACAGTAACTGAGATTAGTGAAGCTCAAATCCGAATGACAATCTGCCATGAATCGAGCAGTGTGCAATTTTCAGCCTCATTGCACATCGCTCGACAGCTAAGCCAGCGCCGAGCAAATAAAACGACGCGGGCGACAGGTGGTGCGCGGCGGTGGCTGGGAACAATTGACAGTTGGCTGCATTTGCAACCGCACTTAATTAGTAGTTAATGATGCTGATTAACACGCATTATGGCCAGCCTGTGCCGCCCTTGCCCATGCCCATGATCTGCTGCGAACTGTCCAGGTATACAATGTGTAATCGATGCTTTAGGCGCCGTGGATTACGAAATAATCGCACGGCGGACAAGCGCCATGCCCGCCCAAAAGTATGCAAAAGAAATGTACTCGGCGTGCGACGAAAAAAACATACAAAAAGTTAAATGCGACGCATATAAAAACTGATGAGGCCTACGAAAGCGGAGTGGGGGGCAGATGGTGGGGCTTACAGCGCGCTGTATCGAATACACACACTCGCACAATATTGACAGTATCGGCGTAATTATATCAGCAGTGGCAGCCGCACGGCCACTGAAATATGCAACGTTGACTGCCTTCATTTATTTTTACTGTTACTGCATATTGGGGCGGCGACTCGATGTGCGGCATATCGCTGCCCATTTTACACCTGTGCAACACACAACCAAACCAACGGACGAACCACCGAGCCATCGAGTCGCCACTTTGCTCTGCTGCAGCAGTTGCACTTCATTTGCAGCATTAATTTGTCGCGCGTTGATTTATCTCGCGAAATATACGGAAATACGAGCACGGGCCACGGCTTGCTGCTGCTGTAGGGGAGCCAAGGGAGAGTTGCCTGAATTTATGATCTGGCAGTCGCCGGGCATTAAGAATTGTTAAAATCGATTGTTAAGCGTTGTCAGCTGTTGAAGAGCTGGGCAGGCCGTCGGGTCAATGCATTTTAATCCAGTTAAATGCATTTTAAATACACTTTTCTCATCGGACAGCTGACAGAACACGCGTAAGTGTGGCTGCCTCGGCCGACCTTGAGGGCAGATAGTCGGTTAGCAGATGCCATCTGAAAGTCAATTGAACTCGAAGCAGGAAGCCGAGTTAGAAAAGCAGCGCGATTCCGAACACGTTAATCAAACGTGACGCGCTAATATGGAAATGAACTACTTAATGAACTGCCTCAGTTCATCAGAGGCAAGTTATATTTAGCCAAAGTGGAGAGCGTTTTGGAAAGTGAATGAGTCTATAGCCAACTTGTTCTATTAGGGAAAACGAGTTAAGTCTGAACATCAGAAGAATTAAAAAGTAACAAAAGAACATTTCAATTAATACTATAAATGAATTAATTCCATTTCAAGCTCGAAATTTAATAAAAGTTGAATATGTGTTAAACTATATATTTTTATTATTATTAGTATTTGTATATACCAATATATATTTTTAAAATATTTTAAATTAGTTTAAATGTCCTCTTTCCAGAAAAAAAAACATTTTTTTTATTTTTTTTTAATTTTATTAAGTGTAGAACCGGTACAAACAAAAAAAACAGGACCATAACAACACAGGGAGGTAAATTAATTAATGAGCCGAACCCCATACCGAGCTATGG